TTTCCTAGTTAAAATAGGACTCAACAATCAGAGACTCCCCATCCACTCCCCAATTCCCAACTACCCAAAAAGCTTGTATCATTTACTTAAGCAAGTCAAATTTAATTTCACACAAATAGATCATAGTTTTCTTCTTTCGTGAGAAAAATGATATATGGAAGCGTTAAGAGATATGTTTTTTTAAAATATGTCTGATTACTTTGTGTATATTTAATCTGGGTCTATAAACTTGGAAAGGGATGTTATATAATCATATAGTCAGGATATTCTTAAACTGGGATCTGTGGATACATTATAAGTGTGTATGAATCCTCCGGTCCCCAAAATATGTAGAATATTGTGTTCATATATGTTTTTTGGGGAAAGAAAGTGACTCCATTTCTTTCATCAGATTTTTTAAGGTTTTCAAGACCAAGAAAACATTAAGGATTACTTATCTCACTAATTCTTCCACATCTGGGCTATATATAAGTACTCTAGAAAAATAAACAAATGAGGCTGGGCTCAGTAGCTCACCCTATAATCCCAGCACTTTGGGAGGCCAAGATAGGAGGATTGCTTGAGTCAAAAGTTTGAGACCAGCCTGAGAAACATAGTGAGACCTATCCTCTACCAAAAATAAACAAAATTAGCCAGGCAGCGTGGCATATGCCTGTACTCCCAGCTGCTCAGGAGGCTGAGGTGGGAGGATCGCTTGGGCCCAAGAGGTCAAGGCTGCAGTGAGCTGAGATCATACCATTGTACTCCAGCCTGGGCAGCAAAGCAAGACCCTGTCTCAAAAAGACAAATAAATAAAAATTTTAAAATAAACAAATGAAACTTGGTGTTTTAACTGGGATCAAACAAAAAAGATAGCAAATTACAGCTATTATTTCAGATAGGTACTTTCAGAGGCTCCTTGAGTGCAAATCTATTTTCATAATTCTAAGGCATTATTTGCCTTTTTGCTCTGAGCCTCTCATGAGTGCATAGTGGAGTTTCCCAGAGGCTATATGACATATAATATCACAACAGATTGAGCAGAGAAGCAGATACGAGAATCCAGCTGTCTTTTTATGAAATCAGATGCTAAAGAGATTTGCAAAATGTAAAACAATGCTGGTCTCTTCTTACTAATTTTTAAAATTTGAAAAACAACTATTTTTCATAAAAATATGTTTTTATGTTAACCGTGTAATGGGTCTGTTTTTTTAATTAATAAATTTTTTTAGATTTCTCAGTTTTAATTTACTTTCATTTAATTTCTCGTTTCATGAGAAAAAGAGATAGAGACCAGGTGTGGTGACTCACGCCTGTAATCTCAACACTTTGGGAGGCTGAGACAAGAGAATCACTTAAGCCTTGGAGTTCAAGACTAGTCTGGGCAACATAATGAGACCCCCATTTATACAAAAAAAAATTTTTAATTAGCCAACATGGTGGCACATGTCTGTGGTCCCAGCTACTCAGAAGGCTGAGGGATGAGGATCTCTTGAGCCCACGAGTTTGAGGTTACAGTAAGCTATGATAACATCACTGCACTCCAGCCTGGGCAGCAGAGTAAGGTGAGACCCTGTCTCAAAACAAACCAAAAATATATATATAGACAAATATAAGATGAACAAGTAAATTCTGTGGATCTTAAGTACAGCATGAGTGGTAACGGATGACGTGTTAAATAATTTAACCTTGGTAATCATTACACAGTGTGTATGTATTTCAAGTGATCATGTTGTATGCCTTGAATATATACAATATTTTGGCAAGTACTTTTTTTTTTTTTTTTGAGACAGGGTCCACCTCTGTCACCCAGACTGGAGTTCAGTGGCACTATCGTAGCTCACCACAACCTCTGCCTCCTGGGCTCAAGCACTCCACCCACTTCAGTCTCCCAAGTAACTAGGACCATAGGCACGTGCCACTGTGCTGGTTAATTTTTGTATTTTTTGTAGAGACGCAGTTTTGCCATGTTTCCCAGGCTGGTCTCGAACTTCTGAGCTTGAGCAATCTGCCTGCCACACCCTTCCTAAGTGCTGGGATTACAGGTGTGAGCCACCACACCCGGCCCAAGTAAATATTTTTAAATTGAAAAATATATAGATATTATTCACATAAACAAAAGCTCTTTGGTATTCTCAATAATTTTTTTAAGAGCATAAAGGAGTGCAAGACCAAAAAGTTTGAAAACTGTTATTCTGTAACAAATGACATTTTAGAAATAGGGGTGCCTCTAGAAGTTAAATCAGGGGATGGTGATGTGAATGTGTTGTCTATACCCTTGTTCCTCAAAGTATGGCCTAAGGAACATCTGCATGAGCATCACCTGGGAGCGTATTAAAAATGCAGGATCTTGGGCCTCATCCCAGCTTTCTTGAATCAGAATCTTCATTTTACCAAGATCTCCAGGTGATTTGTATATACATTAATGTTTGAGAAGCTTTAATCTGTATTACACATTACTAACATTATTTCAGTCCACCATCATTCCTAAAAGGGTTAGAGGAAGCTATATAAATAAATGTCTTCATTATATAAATGTACTTTGTAAAAGTGTATATAGTTTAATATGTAAATATATTAACACTAATAGACATAATTTTTTGAGGCTATTATTGATACTGTCTTTGCAAGCAGTTCTTTATTTTAACCATTTGGTCTTATAGTTATGTCATAATATCAGAACTTCATGATAGGAGTTCAAAGCTTTGGGTTTGGGTCATAAATTTACCAACTTTGTCTTCTCAGATAAAAATTCAAATTTCCCCATGTGTAAATTTTACCTATAAAAATGAAATAATGTATGTTGAAAACATTTTTAAATTTAATGCTAATGCATTTTAATTAGTCTAAGTTTTGCTAGGAATTTTACATTAAACCTGTATGCATTGTTATTGCATAGCCTTTAAAGAACTTCCAATATATATTTTAAACAGTTCATTTCACTAGAATTTGGTACTAAAGGGGTTTTATCCCCTAGTGAGTCAGTTACCCTTAATTTATTCTATGGCTAACCTACAGCACAAACTCCAGCAGATTTGTGTAGGATTCTATGAATGGATTGGTACAGATCCATCCTCAGTATGTCAGAAAAATTAAAACAGATGTAATAAAGGTGTCACTTTGACAGCTACAGATTTTGGACTCCCCCTAGTGGCTATCTGGCAACAATCAGATTTATCCAAGCATTTTTCACACTGCTTTCTGTTTGCATTTTGCCACTCTTTTTTAAGATCTTTAGCAACCTGAAGAAAAAACAAAGTTCTAGTATTAGCCATTACCACAAGATGTTTTTAGGTGCTTGTTCTATTTCAAAAAAATTTTGATACTATTCTGTCTATTAAACTTAACATAACTTGGGGGGATTAAGAACATGATAGATGGAAATCAGAGTTACAATACATTGCAAACTAGAAAAGAAGGAAACAGGATAAGTGACAATAATCATCACAATACTTCATATAGTTATGAGGGAGAAGCAGACTAACACTAATTTCGCAATATTTGCACTAGACCCTTTATTTTGTCTATTTTAATCCTCCTTCAGCTCTGGACTTTATAGATGAAGAAATCAAGAATTTAGTAACTGTCAGACAATGAGTACATGGCAATAGAGTTACACTGTCATGTAGATGTATACTTTTTCACTGGAAAGCCTTTGGCCATCATTACAGATTATCTTAAAAACAAGTTAAATTGCATGGCTTTCATATCTAATTTTATAATCTGATAAGTTATCAACATATTCCAATAAATTAATTTTCATTATTGTGAGAAAATGCAATTAAGTGCTTTGCGTATAAATATGTATTAAATATTTTGAAATTTACTTTTCATCCTCTCCTTCATGCACATTTTCTTTTCATTTTCTATCAATTTAGCATGTATTTCTGTCAACTTAGAGCTATTTAATTTAAATCAGTTAAGCTAACTATTCTGAATAGAGAAATTTAAAAGAAATTGATCTGAAAGAGTTTAAGAAGAATGTGAGTTCTATGGGAGCATTTGTACAGAAAACGTTATTTTAAATTTTTACTGTTCTGGATTTTTCATCATATGAAAAAAACACTTAATGATTATCTCCACACTTTTTTCCACCACTTTTTTAGGTCTAATTGCCCAAAATGTGGCTCCACTGGTGAATCTGGAAATGCCAATTACAGATACAAACTTTCCTTAAAAGTTGCAGAATCAAACAAATT